CACCAGTCAAGCCATGATTCTCCGTTACAAGTAGTTAATCGTAATAGTATACAAATAATCTTTCATATACAACTTTGCTTTATATATGTTTTTTTTTATGAAATATAAGTTATTTTTGCTAATTACTTTGCTAATAAATTTTGTGTACTTAAATACCTACGAATTTATACTACTAATTTAAACTCTGGAACTTATTTTGTTCGAAAACTATTGGTCGGAAGTTCAATTCAGGAACAACAAAAAGGATCTAATAAATTCTGTTTTTTTGCAATGCTTAAATAGTAGGAGTCCTTAAATTCAAGAACTTCTAACTCATAAACTGTAATGAAAAAAGTCCTGAAATCTATCTTTGTATTTACCTATTTACAAATTTGAAATGGGTTGGAAAACAATTTAAACAAACGTTTATTTTATCTAACAATCATTTTCTTTTATAAACATTCCTTTTAACTTACTATTCTAGCTTGAAATTTCTTATTCGGGGGTTTTTGGGGTCGCTGAGTTCGAATCTACTACCAAAATTTCAATTTTTCCAAATCCAAAATGCGAATTTAATATGGTGGATGAAAATCATAGAAATAGCACATTTTTGGCTGGAAATGAGTACCCTAGGATTTTTGGGGTAGCTAAGTTAAAATATACTATCAAAATTTCGATTTTTCGAAATCCAAGTTGGCATTGCCATTAAACTTTGAACTGTTAAGTAGAGGCAAGGGGATTCCATAATCAAACACCCCAAGTGAAACAGAGCTTACTACGTCCACGTCGTTGTTTTTGGGTAACGCTAAAAGTAAGAATAAGGACGATAATCAGGTCATCATCTTAAAAAATACCGTCTAAATGTAAAGTTTCCCGACCTATTGATTTCTAGTACTAAAACTAGGATTTCCGATTAAAAAATTAATTCATCTAGAATGACCTTGAAGGTCAAGTGAAGGTCGAGTTGGAGGTCGAAAAAATGAGGTTGACCTCGTAATAACCTTGAAAATGAGGTTTAAAGTTAAATCTAAAGTCATCATCAGATTCCTAATTCAAAATTACTACAGGAATGACCTTTTTCAGAAATGAAATACTTTAGAAAATATGCAGACGTCCCGGAACTTTATTGACACCCTGTATGGTTCAGTGTACCTATAGAACTTTTATTTTTTCTAGAGTCGAATTATTTATTTAAAATCACATTGCAGTGATTCATAAAATTTGATAGTCTTTTGTTTATAAGATTTTCAAAATTTTTATTTAGGTTAGATGTAAATGGCATTGGCCTATTCAACTACGAGGGTCGTTTGAAAAGTCCGTGCAAAAATAAAAACTGCTTTTTATTTTTTAACATAGTATCTTTTTAGGCTTATACACTTCATCCAACGCTGCTCTAGTTTGTTAATCCCTTCCAAATAATGGGATTTGTCCAAGTCTGTAAAATAGGCATTCGTTTCTACAATCACCTCCTCGTTTGAATAAAATCTTTTCCCCGCCAGCCATTTTTTCATATTAGGGAACAAATAGTAGTCTGACGGAGCCAAGTCTGGAGAATAGGGGGAATGTGAAACGAGTTGGAACCCTATCTCCATCAGTTTTGCGGCCACAACTGCTGAGGCGTGAGCTGGCGCATTGTCGTGGTGGAAGAGGACTTTTTTGTGGGCCAATCGTGGACGTTTCTCTAGCAACTCGGTTTTCAAACGATCCAATAACGATGAATAATATTCGCCTGTAATGGTTTTACCCTTTTCCAGATAGTCGATGAAGATTATTCCTTGCGAATCCCAAAACACAGTCTCCATAACCGTCCCGGCCGAAGGAATTGTCTTCGCCTTTTTCGGAGCAGATTCCCCCTTGGTAACCCATTGTTTAGACTATTCTTCGGTCTCAGGAGTGTAGTGATGCATCCATGTTTCATCTTCAGTGATGAAACGACGCTTAAAGTCTTGCGGATTTTGCTGGAACAGCTGCAAACCATTCTTGCAACACTTCACACGATCTGGTTTTTGGTCAATCGTGAGCAATCACGGCACCCATTTAGCGGATAGCTTTTTCATGTCCAAATGTTGGTGCAAAATATTATGTACCCGTTTACTCGAGATGCCTACAGTACTAGCAATCTCATGCACCTTCACTCTTCTGTCAGCCATCACCATATCATGGATTTTATCAATGATTTCTGAAGTGGTAACCTCAACAGGGCGTCCAGAACGTTCAGCGTCTTTTGTGCTCATATGGCCACTCCGAAAATTTTGAAACCACTTATAAACCATTCTAATCGAAGGTGCACAATCACCATAATGTTTATCAAGCTTCTATTTAATCTCCTGAGGCATTTTGCCTTTGAAAAAGTAATGTGTAATCAATACACGACATTCTTTTTCGTCCATTTTTTACAACCACTCGATTTCTTTGATTGAAACGAATGTAAAACGCAAAGTAATTGGCCGATCTGGCTGAAACTTGGTGTGTGCTCTTCCAAGATATGCCACTAACTAAAAATAACCTTGATACGCACTAGTAGCGCCATCTCTCTGACTTTGCATGGACTTTTCAAACGACCTTCGTATTTTTCCTCATCTTTCTTCTTAAGAACGGGGAACATTGAGGAAACATTCTTTCGTGTTACCGCACTAAAATATTTACATACTATTTACAAGTTTATATTTACAAGTTAAGGTAAACACTATTTCGTCAAGTACTATTACGTATTTATATTTAGGATGTTATTTTATTGAGTAAAGCGAGTTGGTGAAAATTTGTTTCTCTTTACCACCTCTAACGAAATACAGTACTGCTTTATTATTTTCAAGGTAATAAATACCCCTATATTAATATGATCGTATTAACAATTACTTTTTCCACGTTACTACGAAACCGTGTGATGATTGGGGTAAGTTCTTGACATTTAAATTCTTAGACCATCAAAGGTAGATAAATGAAAAATGTCAATATATCCAGATATCAAAAGTTATTATATAACATCCTTTCCAAGGTATGATTAACTAATGTAGATGTTTATAGAACCTCAGACTTGTATATAAAAATCAGTAGTAGTATTTTGCGGTTAGATATAAGGGAAGTGCCAGAGAGGCTGGCCAACAGCAGTACTCCAAAAAGTAGCAACATATGAGCGCTTAGTTAGCTCAACTCAGTTTTTGTGTTTTCTCACTTTTCACCGTAATCAGAATTGAATGAAATTGTGTAGAGTATTTCAAATTTTACGATTCCAAGAAAACGATCATTTATTAACTTAGAAACGTTTGTGCAATATTTAATTTAGTACAAATTTTTAAATAGAAAAAACTGTTTGCTTCTTAAATGGTTTTTTTATCCAATTACCTAAAAGTAGCATTTCCCGATCGCAGTTTGATCGATAACATGCTAATTTTGATTTCGTTGGATAAAACAATATTATATGCATTGCCGTAGACCTATAAGCTCGTGAGAATTGACAATCGAGTCAAAGCCGAGATCAAACACGTTTAATGGATTTACCAATATTTTTCCGAAGTAGATACATTTATTTTTGTACTGTGACTTTTTTAAAAGCAATTAATTAAAGTTTAGATGTGGATCCTCCCCCCTCCCCCTCTCAGTGTGCAGATAGTAACTTATATTCTCAAAGCGGCTAATTTTTTTATGACTCATTGATCGTTTTATATTTCAAAAACATATTAGTAATAGTTTAGAGTTTATTGAATGCTTATTGATTTTATTTAACAGTATCTTGAAAATGAAAAATGTCTAAAAAATATCTTGCGAGTACAATTTGGCATGTATATGTCGGGTAGAAATCTTCGAATCGTTGTTGTCGGAAGTAATGAAGCTTGGACGCTGATCACAAGAGATGACTGGCCTGCTTATGAGTAGAATGGCCAGATCAAGAGCGCCGCCAATGTCACACTACATATCAAAGCCATTTATAAAGAAAGAAAGCTAGAGAAATGTAGAAAGCAAATAAATAGCCATAACATAGGTAGCTGTGACAGAGATTGCGCGTAAGTGTATTTGTGGCATCCATGCCTAGCTGTTCTCAGCTAGAGCTAGCTGGTAGCACTTTCCTACAACTATAACGGGCTCAGGAGCAGACGCTCGTACCAAGGACAGACTTTCAACGGCAACAGATACGGCAGTATATAAGCTGCACAGATCAGAGAAGCAGCTCAGCAGTATCCTCGATTTGACAAAATCTACTTTGCTGCTCTACCCTCGCCTTTCTCTGCTAGTTAGTTTGCCACAATACTGATAACGATGTCTTATTAGCACAGTCCACTAATAAAACATTCGCTAAGCTCAACCTCAGTGTCATCTTTTGTGGAACTCGTTCTCTATAAGGCCAGTTGAATTATCCAGAGCGCAAAGTTGATAAAGGACATTGGACTAAACAAGAATGCGAGGGAAAGCCGCAATTCTTCATATATTCATCTTCATCTCTGTGAGTAAAATTCAGAAAGAAATGTCTTTCTATTTCTCGCTGTCTCCACCACTTTCGTTTTATAGGTATACAAGAAAAAGTTACAATAAATAAGACTGATCTTTATAAATGTAATTTTCCCCACACTGTACGTAAAGTACTGACTACGCACCCTCCTAACAGGAATTACATAATCACATAAACAATTTAAGAAGCAATGCACTTTTTCCGTTCTTACCTAACTGCTTGAATAATAAAAGAGTGCATCGCGTGTACATGAGACACTTTATTTTTAAACAGTCAATACTGTTCTTTGTTATTTTCTAAAGGCATAGTATCATTACTTTACTGAAATATATGGGAACGAGTATATGCACCACGGAAGTACAATTACTCCCAGGGTGAAATACCGACGTCTTTTCCCTCGGTCAATAACATTACATAATACATCCATTATCCAATATGCTGCCTTATTCTATAATATACCATTATTACAATGACTTTTTTAGTGAATATTTTTTCATCTATGTAAAAATGCAAATGTAAACATTTTTTCCTATTGTTATTTTTAGCATTTATTTTAATGTAATAATATATTCTACAGAATGCTACACAAACAGCTGAAGCAATGGTTAAGACGTATGGAATGTCAGAAAAAGTCGGATTTAGAGTACATAGAGATATGAATCGGTCTGGTTATAGTACAAGCACGCGGGAGTTGATTGACAACGAGGTAAAGCGACTCTTACAGGTACAAAATTTACTTATCTAACTTAATTTTCTTTAAAAATGATACTATGTACAAAAATAATTTTATTTCAGGAGTCTTATGATAGAGCAAAAACTATTTTAAAAATCCATAGCAAAGAACATAAGCTACTAGCAGAAGCATTGCTGAAATATGAAACTTTAGATGCAGAAGACGTTAAAGCTATAATTAATGGCAAAAATTTACGACATGAAGCCAAAAAAGACATTAATCGAACAATCGTAGATGTACCCAATAAGAGCATAATGTGAGATTCTTGTGTATATATATATACATATATATAGTACTTCATCACATAATCTTGGTAATTTTGTACTATTTAAATTGTTGTGTAAAAAATTTATGAGGTTATGTTAATAATATAAAATTTATTATAAAATTTCCTACCCCATTATTTTTACTTACTTTCAAATTTTAGTTTTTTTAACGTATTCTGTTTATAAAAAGTTTTTAGTATTATTTTTAACCTTCATTTTTACAACTGTTGTATGAGCTCGAGAATGAGTAGTTGTATATTTGTAAAATGGTGGTAATTATTTTTCAATAATTAAAATGAAGGGAAAGAACGAAAAGAAACTTATATGCTTCCTTGAAGAACGAAAATTTTTTTTTGTTTTCGTTACTGCAAAATTTAATAAACAAGATACCTGATCTCAATAATTGCTTAATAATAAGGAATATTTAATATAATTTTCGATTGTATCGGCATATAGACTATTAGGAACATCCAATGGTAAGCAATGTAATTTTTTTTCAGTTTTAATTTAGTTATTAATGTTGATTTCAGTACCTCATCAGTTTGTCTCTAAAATAATAATATTCCATAACATGTACACCCGGATGTGCGATGATTGAGTGACGCAAATGTTTGACTCCTTCCCGATGAAATAACAGGTTGCAATCTTTTCCATTTGATTTTACGAGAAACGTTATGGGAAGTGAAAAATTGTCAAAATTACAAATTTCCCACTCCTATTATAAAAAATTTTATTGCAAATAACAAGTTTTTTCGTCACAACTTGAAAAACATTGATTCTTTGGAAAAAAAAGTTTAAACAAAAGTTTGTATTTTTTTTAATTCCAAACAACTTTTGTCTCTTATAATATTTTCGATCAACCAATACTTAAACAATATTTTTTGAGATAATCGAGAAAATGTGTTAGCATGCTTGGTATATCTATACAGTGCATATTATAACTATAGAATATACTAGAATGTTATTACCGCATTTGTCGATTATCTCGGAAAATAATGGGTCTTTGAAAAAATACGAGGCCAAAAAATTTCGAGGCTATGATAGGGCTGCGTAGCGGCCTCCGAGAAGGCGTATAGTATCATAAGCATAAAACCATATACAATTTTTCGATAATATATATTATGAATAGTTGTCATCGTAATGCGATCCTTTACGATACATGAAGTAATACTTTAGTTTCTCAAATTGTCTTTTATCTATCAAATAGCTTTTCAGCTACTCATCATCATGATGTATAATTTTATATCTTCCTACTTTTCAAAGTAGAATTTTATGGTTATCTGTACAATATCTCTCAAATTGCAACAATATTTTAACTGTAATTATACAAACAGATATTCGTACATAAACAATACAGAAATGTTTCGCACCGCGCAGTGGCTCGTAACATAAGCGACTTACTCAAAAAAACGAAACCGCAGTGCCAAGCCAGACGCGTACGTCTTCGTTCAAATAATTGTGAGGTTCGCCGCGCTAACGCTGGCTCACCCGTAAAACATACGCCCGGAGGCAAGAGAGAGAAACGAAAAAGAGAGAAGCCATGCACTAACCATTAGTATTGGGGTGTCAGGGAAATCTTCCTCCAACTCTTCTGATGTTATCTCCAACGGCTTACAATGCGAGTGGCTGTTGTTGTTCTGGAGAGTCGAAGCAGCTGCGGAGAACTGATGTTGCGAGTACACGTTACTTTTACCTACTAAGGATGTTGCTACTGTTAACAAGAGCTGTTGCTCACTGTCGATGCTGCTTGCTGTTGCTGCCAAAAGTTGCTTATTGCGCGAAGTGTTGATCGAGGATCAAAAAAACCTTGGCGAGAGTGCTTACACCAAAAACCAATTTTTCACTGCCAGTCAGTCAGTATATCGGCCGGCTTCTGAGCTCTGTGGTGCGCTTTCTAATCTAGCGTCTCAAACTATGTTTTCCCTTTCTACTTCTTTTTCTCTCACGCACCTTGGACCAAGTGAAGCTAACGTGCGCTCACTTCGAAGGCACGCTTAACCGTTTCTCTTTTCCACCAGGTCACCTAGGTGGGCCAGGATGGTAGTCAACAAAGTAAAAAACCAAGTATGAGTGTGTGAGAAATAAACATACTCTCACGGCTTGGCGACGACACGCGAACGAGAAGAGTAAGCGCAAATGGCGGATCCAGAGATACCCATTCCAACCTTCACTCTATCTACACCATTTCACTCAGTATTCTTTTAGATAATCTCTTTATTTTTCATGTTATTCTGAAGATTTTCGGTTTGAATCTCTTCCACTCCTTTCCATCTCTCTTCTACCTTGCTCTTCTTCACTCCTATACTCTATTTTTTTTAGTTTAAAAGATCAAAATTTTTATTTCAACAGAAGTAATATGAAAATTGATGTACGAGGTCTGTCCAGAAAGTATCGAGCCTACGTTTATATCTTTGCGCCATAGTGTTCGAGCGACCTCTACCGGACAGAAACGTCAACAGTAAAGCCTCACGAATCTATTGGCTACTTACTGACACCTGCCGGACGTATAGTTCATGCGCAGCGTGTCTTTGATTACACTGCCTTTTTGGCGTTCGTCGGATTTGGATATTGTCAAAAATGACTAAAAAACAAGATCAACGAATTTGCATCAAATTTTGCTTTCAACTCGGAAAAACGAGTTCGGAAACTATTGAAATGATGCAAAAGGCCTTCGGAAGCTAGTGTATGAGCAAAACACGAATAAAAGAGTGGTATAAACGGTTCAAAGATGGTCGCACTTCTGTCGATAGTGATTCTCGTTCCGGCCGACCTTCGACGACAAAAACCGCAGATAATATTGAGCGGGTGCGACTTGCAATCGAACAAGATCGTCGTATGACTGTGCGAGAACTAGAAGAAGACCTTGGGATACCAAAAACTGTCATTTCAGAAATTTTAACCGAAAATTTAGGAATGAAACGCGTGTGTGCGAAATTCATCCCAAAATTGCTCACAGCAGAGCAGAAGAACATTCGCTAAGAAATCGCTCTGGACAATCTGGAAATGGTCAATAATGATGATAATGTGCTTAGAAAAGTTATTACAGGTGATGAATCATGGGTTTAGGTAAGGCAAGTGATGGCGCTGCTAGCAAAGTGATAGCGCTGTAGAACGTAGAAGAGATAGCTATAATGAAAAGTAGGGAGAAGTGAATTTTGAGGCTATGAGATGGTGTTTCAAGCAAAGCGATGGCGCTATAAGCAGCGGTATTGGCGCTGTAAAACTTAGAGGGGATAGCTCGAATGAAAGGGGAGAAGGGAGAATCGACTGTAACGCTCTCTAAAATAATTTCATTAATGTTATATGATATATTATATATATCATATATATAAAAAAAATAGTTATTATTGCTTTGAGTCATGATACAGTTTACATTTCTCGGAGAACAATTAGATTTATAATCTCCGTATCAGTGGTGTAAACTTCCTATTGAATATCAAAATAGCAATAAATGGCTAGAAATATATCATCATGCTATTTATTTATTTTATTATTTATTTATTATTATTAATCAGAGTACATATACGTTATAACATAGAATGATTGTACGTATATATTACAAAAATTTTTTACTCAATTTGCAATCCAGCAGAGGAAAATTTCCTGTTTGTCGGTCTGGATGCACTTATTACTAACTTAAAACTAATATGGTAGTTTAGATACATTTTTTATTAAATAATTGCAATTTTTCGATATTCTTCTTCATCAAAATCTAATAAATCTTGATTTAGCTGTGATATAATTTTCTATTATGGTATTGTGTATTTTATTCTTTTGCTGTGGTTGAATCTTGTTGGACAAGTAAGTCCAATTGCACATGTTGTTCTGTAATGAGGGAAAATTCTTTGGTGTTGCTTTATAGAGGTAGATTGGCAGGTTGAGGTGAATACGATCATCAAGTACTATGAGGTCTTTGTGTTTAGGTTGAAGTTCAAGTGAGTAAACAGAGTTTACAAAAGTTTGTATACCTTGTAAATCTCTATCAAAATAGTGTAGGGCTATGTTACTTCCTATATAATTGACGTCTCCGTAAGAAGTCATGCTATAGCAATTTGGTTGTTTAATTGGGTTATTAAGGACTGATGCTGGTTTATTTGAAATTATTTTATTGCTATTATCTTCAGTTATTTTGTCTATCACGTCAAAGACAGTTTTAATTGGTTTGTATTTTATTTTGTCATTTGCTATTGTAGATTCAGATTCGAAGTGAGAAGTTTTTACAAATTTTATTGGTATGAAGCCCTTATGAAAGGGCGTATTAAAGTCGTCTTTTTTCTGTTTATGCGAGTTTGAATGTTGTTTATAGCAATCTTGAAATTCATTTGCCGTTTTACTGATTTTGTTGAAGTTTTTGGTGGATGTAAATAGTATTATATTATAATTATAGTTTGTTAATCTGTTATGTGATCTATTGTAATATAAGTTACATTTGCCTTGTGAACATATGTAGGTCTTAATATCTAGTAGTGTCTTTTATTGGAAATTTGTATTCTCATGAACTTCCGATGCCAGATACATTTTTCCTTTGTATCATGTATGGAGGAGCTGTTTCAGTTGATTACAATTTAGTTTATCTTTAGTCTTCTTCATTTTGTTTACGTTTAACATTGTTTATGGATTTTATTTTATCCATTTTGTTTCGTTTATTTTTTATTGTACGCGTATTGATAATTGTTTGACGCTTATTCGGTAATTTGTTAAACAGTTTTATGGCCCTTATATAACTATTTTTGATACTTATTTGTTTAGATCTTTTTGGTAGGTTTAAGCAGTTATACCTAGTTTTCTTGCTTTTGTTTTTGTATATTTGTGATAGATTTTAATAATGATGTACTAGAGATTCTAAAGAAAAGGTTTAATCAACATTTGAAGGATTGTTGTCAAATATAAAAAATTATTTTTGTTGATTATTATTTTTATTAGTCTAGTCTGGAGGTTTTTAAGTTCTTTTATTCTACCAGAATATGCTTTGTCCCACGCAACTATTCCATAGGTAATTACACTATGGAATAGTGCAAAATAAAGCATCTTTAAGATATTTGTTGTCATAATTCTTGGTAACTTGTAAAATATAAAGGTGAAGTATTTGATCTTCTTGTATAAATTTTGCAAAT